TAAAAACAAAGTGCACAATAAACAATTAGTCAGAGTTATTAATGAGACAAAAGGCAAAATTTACAATGGCAGTACGTTTTTCACCGAATTACACAAATGACAAAAGAATAAACAAGGTTACTAAGCATGCTGTTTCGTATTGTCACTTAGTCTAAAAAGTCAAAAATTGTTGGCTTATCTGTTATCATATTTCTAATATTTCTTTCGCTCTCCCATCCCACTATTCCCCCTCGTAGCGATTTTTCATTTAAAACTTTACATCCATTTGAAACCCTTTGATTTTAAAATTCCAAAGCAAAGCTAGTTTTAACGACACCTTCTCCGTTGATCGGCACTCTGCTTCAAAAACAATAAAAGTAAAGGTACTCAAACCTAACAAAGAAAGGAATTTTAAATACATCAAACGACTTCAGAAATCTCATCCTCCTTGTAGTACTAATGCTTTCCGAAAAAATTTTTGCATCCATTAGAGCACCCCTGGCAAGAAAAATTTTTTCACAAACGGAAAAGAGTTCTCCTTTCGGGTTATTTCTCTACTAGTAACTAAGCAAAGCTTTTGTAAGGTGTAAGCGCTACTCAACTTTAAAAACTCTATCTGTGATAATTTTTTATTAAAATGTACTACAGCTTTAAGTTCGAAATAATTGAATTTGTTCTGGCAATATTCCTACTTAAAAAGGCATTTATTGGACCACGCAGACCGTGATGTGACAAACTGTCAATATCACGTTTTAAAAAATAAGCCTTCTCCTTCTCGAAATTTACAAAGTCGCGAGCTATATTCAATGAAAACATTACGTTGGACAGCAATCTCGTAGCTTCATTTGTGTTCTTTCCGAAATTTTCCTATAAAAGTTCATAGATCAGAAACAGCTAACAAATGTTAAAACTTCGTGTGAGAAAGGTAATTCAAAATAGGAAGAAATTTCGACTTAGATACCTTTTTCTCGTCAAAAATAAGACTTGAATTGAAAACACGATACACTTCTATAAATCTCTTTGTCCACTAAATTACATTTTAAAAAGGACAACATAGCACTTAGTAACCTGACTTAAGAATTAAATTAATTACTCAGACCTTAAAAAAAGTTAAACTGTCGCACTCTGTCCCTATATATCCAAATTTAATCTGACTCTTTACACCTTATCTGTAAAGAACGAATATTAACATCAGTATTTTCTAAAAGCCAAAATAACAACCCTGTACAGTTTTTTACGAACCTAGTGAGAAACACAGTAGCATGTCCGCTTGGATTTTTCTATTCCTCTTAACTAATCCGAATAGAACTTCCCTATGAAAATTATTTGGGCCATTATTAAAAGTTCCATAAGCCTAGAACAAATTTTTAAGAACTGCGGCAGATGCGGTAAACATTTTTTTGCTCTCCATATAGAGTGTAAATGGAAACCCAATTTTAAACTTATTCACTTTGAGAAACTTTAAAAAAAAAAAAAAAAA